TAGGGTCACACAACATCTAAGAACGTCTTGGATCAATCTTCACCTGGATCTAGGTGCTTCACAGCGCAGATACCCCAGGTCCAAAGGATGCACTCCAGTCCAGACTTTTATGTTTTTGGTGGTAGTAGGTCCTTCTCATCTCTGCTCACTCCTCTCCTTTATCTTTGTAAGTAAGAGGTGTTGCAGGCCATACCCCAGGGAAACTTGCATTAGATCAGGCAGTTCAAGCTTACCAGCCACTTCTTGGAAACCCTATACAGGGTTACTATTGGTTGTAACCGAATCAATAGCACTTAACAACAACAATCCCACCCTTAATCCTTTTATTGGTTTATCACATCAGATCATATAATGGGAGATCATCACATAACTGCCACATTACATCATGGCCCAGGCAAGTTGATACGTATTTTGGGGGGACATAATTCAATCCATGATATCTACCTATAGAGATTGGTTATGTAAACAATGGCATATCTTCACAGTGGAAAAATATATGAATATTTTCTATATACTGTTATGGAAGTATTTTCCGAGTATAAGATTATTAAATAACAAGATGCAGAAGAATGGATATCATGTTTTAAAAAGCAAGAGCAGAAGAATGGATATCATGTTTCTTTTAGTGCAAGAAAGGAAAAAAGCAGACCAGTGTGAGTAGTTGTATGTTCCTGTACCCCCAACAAAACACCCCCTGCCCTATTAAAAAAAAAAGCAGCAACTGCCAGAACTAAGTTTGTCAAAACTCTGGAAACCAGTCAAAGCAAACACTGAATCAAGAAAAAGTCAGCAGGAGAGGCAATCATGGTTCATGGTAAAGTTCTTGTTTCCCATGCAGGAAACCTGGGTTCAATTCCTGGCCAGTGCACTTCATGCACAGTCATCACCCATCTGTCAGTGGTTTTCATGTTGCTATGATGTTGAATAGGCTTCAGTGGTGTTTTTAGACTGAGATGGACTAGGAAGAAAGGCTTATCAGTCTACTTCTGAAAAATCAGCCCAAAAAAACGCTATGGCTCACAATAGAATATTGTTCAATCCACAACCAATCAGGAAGATAGTGCAGGACCAAGCAGTGTTTCATTTTTTGGTGTTATGGGGACACCACAGGAGTCCTAGTAGCATAGCAGGTTAAGTGTTGGGCTGCTAAGTGAAAAGTTGGCAGTTCTGATCCCTTCTAAGGAGCAGTTCTACTCTGTCCTATAGGGTCACTATGAGTCAGAATCAACTCGATAGCAGTGGGTTTTTTGTGTGTGTTTTAAATATATATAAAGTAGGCATCATTTATTATGTTACTACCAGAAAACCACTAAATCTCCTTACCTTATTTATAAATAAATCTTATTCATCTAAGTAACTATTCATTTTTCTCTGGATTCTCCCCATTTTTATTAGATATAAAGGGAATTCACAGTTTGTGGATAAATTCCATTAATCTTTTAATTCCATTTTCCTATGAACTTTTTGAAGCCTTCTCATATATTTAAGAAATTTTTATTAAGTATACATAATGCTCTTCTAGTTATCCTCCAAGATGCTTATTGGCTGGGGAGGGACTGAGACTTAGAAACATTTACAATTAGAATGTGGTTAAGAATTATATTAGGCTAAGAGGACTTAAAACATTTACTGATAAAGGTCAAAGAGCACAGCCTTCGGTATGGATTACATCTCAATGTAAAGAAAACAAAAATCCTAACCACTGGACCAATAAACAACACTCTTATCAATGGAGAAAAGATTGAAGTTGTCAAGGACTTCATTCTTCTTGGATCAACTATCAACACTCATGGAAGTAACAGTCAAGAGCTCAACATTCAAGAGATCAAACAACGTATTGCATTAGGCAAATCTGCTGCACAAGACCTTTTTAAGTGCTAAAGAGCAAAGAAGAAAGCTTGAGGACTAAGGTGCGTCTAACCCAAGCCATGGTATTTTCAATAACCTCATATGCATGCAAAAGCTGGATAGTGAATAAGGAAGACCATAGAATTGATGCTTTTGAGTTATGGTACTGGAGGAGAATATTGAAAGTGCCATGGGCTGCCAAAAGAACCAATAGATCTGTTTTGGAAGAAGTGCAGCCAGAATGCTCCTTGGAGGCCCAGCTAGCCAAACTTCATCTCTCATACTTTGGACATATTGTCAGGAAGGAGCCGTCACTGGAGAAGGATATCAAGTTTGGTAAGGTGGAGGGTCAGAGAAAAAGAGGAAGACCCCAACAAGATGGATTGGCCAAGTAGTAGCATCAATGGACTCAAGTGTGGCAACAGTAGTGAGGTTGGCCCAGGATCAGGCAGTGTTTCGTTCTGCTGTGCATAAGGTCGCTATGAGTTGGTATTTAACAACAACAACATGATTACAGTGTTTGCACAGTAATCTCAGGGTATGGCTGCTTTTTGTTTGCCTTTTGGAGCTCTAGTAGCATAGTGGTTCCAAATCAGGCTGCGAACCGCAAGGTCAGCAGTTTGAAACTACAAGCTGTTTCGTGGGAGAAAGATGAGGATTTCTGCTCCCGTAAAGATTTCCACCCTCGGAAACCCTGTACAGGGTCGCTATGGGTCGGACCCGACTCGATAGCACTTAACAACAACAACAAAGATTTACATCCTCGGAAACCCTGTACAGGGTCGCTAGGAGTCGGAACCGACTCCACGGCATACAACAACAACAGAGAGTTGAGCCCTAATGCCTTCATGGTGAGTAGGCTAGTAAAGTCACCGATAGGCTTTTAATCCAAGCAATCAGCTTAAAGGAGCCCTGGTGGTGTAGCAGGCTAAGTTCTGAACTGCTAACAGAAAGTTTGACTGTTCAAACCCACAAACTGCTCCTTAGGAGAAAGACCAGGCAGTCTTCTCCTGTAAAGATTTACAGTCTGGGAAACCCTAGAGAGCAATCCTACTCTGTCCTATAGTGTCTCTAAGAGTGTGATGTCTGTGGGTTGAATCCATTTCAAATTCTGTGCTATTCAAATTGCATCTGGGATGAATCCAACATGCAATTTGGGGAAGATGAAAACTTATTGATGCTGAGTCACAGAAGGCAGCAGACCATGACTTTCCCCTTATTTATGGAAGACACCATTCATCACCCCACCAGCTAGATTGTGTGTAAATCTGGGGGTGTACACAGTCAAGGAAAATTCCATTAGCACAGGAATCTAAGTCTGAACTTGGGCAGTTTGCTCTTTCCTTTCTTGCCTGTCTAGCCAGGAGTGCTTGGTGGTTTTTCTCAACTCAATCCCTAGAGATTTGACCATCAACCCTGGGCCAAAGGAGAACAAAGCAGACAAAATACCTGTTGTCTTAAAATGTATCTTCTAGCAGGGGTGGGGTGGGCTGGGGGGGAGGTTTGTTGTTGTTAAGTGCTGTCGAGTAAGTTCCAATTTATAGTGACCATGCATAGGGTTTCCAAGGACCTTCTGGTGAGCTTGAACCGCCGACCTTGCAGTTCAAACAGCTTTGCAGTCTAGCGTATTAACCCACAGCGCCACACCAGGGCTGGGGGTTTGTTGATGTGTGCCATGGAGTCGGTTCCGACTCACAGCGACCCTGTACAGGGTTTCCAGGCTGTAAATCTTTATGTGGGCAGAAAGCTTCATCTTTCTCCCGCGGAACAGCTGGTAGTTTCGAACTGCTGACCGTGAGATTAGCAACCCAAATCGTAACAACTACGGTGAAAATAGGTTGAATAGGGCAGGGTAAACTAGGGAGCAGGACGTCAGATCATCTGACTGAATTCAAAGAGAGCATTAAAAAAATTCATGGCAACATGGAATTGAAAAATGTTATTTTTTTCCACGAACTTTCTGAAGTCCCCTCGTACTTGCAGCAATACAGCAGACACTTCATTCCGTCGATGCAATCTTCACATCATCTTGGTGCCTGTACCCACAGCTATCAGGTGGATTCCAACTCATAGCGACCCTAATAGGACAGAGTAGACTGCTCCCTAGGATTTCCGAGGCTATTTTCACAGGAACAGACTGCCTCATCTTTCTAACCTTGTGGTTAGCAGCCTAATGATTAACCCGTGGCACCACCAAGGCTTCCCTCAGGGTAACCTGACTACCATCTCAGGCCTAAGACTTCTCTTTGACTATGCGATAACCTCAGGCCCAGGATCACTTCGTCCCATTGGGAGCTGTTCGCCCGTCGGCCTCCCTCAGTGCGGGACTACTTGGGAGCAGTCGGCCGGACAGGTAGGTCACTTCAGCGAATTGGCCCGTCTCTTCTCATAGCTTCCGCAGACTCTTTGTTCCTCTGAAGTCGGTTTTCGAAACGCCACTACCTCTCCGCTGTACAGCCGTTTTCTTGCCAGCGCCGAGGGCCGGCCGAACACAGCGGCTGCAGCGCCCCCTGCGGCACAGGCCAGGTCTAGTAAGGGAGTGCCCACCGTGACCGCCTTCCTTCCCTCCCGGAACGCGGGAGCAGACGCGGGCGGTGCTCGCCAAACTTCACGATCGTATTCTTGATTGGTTGTGCCGCATGACGTCACGCGGAAGACTCCTGCGACAGCTGGGAGCTAGAGCCGCGCGTGCGCAGATGAACCTTGCTGAGCGCGGGGGGGG